AATACAGTCGACCCCCCTATAACACTGTTGATAATTCCGTTTTATATGAATTCCATGTTGTACGAGTCATTTAGATTTTACAAATACGTGTGCTGTTCACAGTCCGGCACACGTATTTGTAAAATCTAAGTGACTCGTACAACATGGAATTCATATAAAACAGAATTATCAACAGTGTTATAGGGGGGTCGACTGTATTTGACTTTGACTATTATACTTTTATCAGAAGTAAAGTAATCTAAGTATAAATACAAACTAAAGCAAATCACAGAAAAATTCTGTTGAATTTTTATCAATACTAAATTATTGAAATTGTATATGCAAACTGTACATACAATAAATGATGCAATATTACTAATGTCAATTTATAGTTTAAATTATTATTATATTACAATAAGACTTTCTCAATTTTTATTAAGAAATTATTAAATTATGAAAGTTTAGACTAATAATCTTTTTTTGTAAAATAATCATAAATCTGAAACAGTTTGTTATTTTTCTATTTAACATAAAACTGTTAAATATATCATATTATCTAACATAATATGATCCCTTCAAAATAAAAATTTTGAAAAATCACACAAGTATTCACACAAGTGTACATCTTACAAAGATAAATGTACAATCAAAAATGCTTGAATGATTTTTTAGCTTTAGTTTTGAAAAAAGCATTTTAAATAAAGATAATCAGTCATAAATTTCACATGTGGAATAATATCATACGCACAAACAATTCATAAGAATTAAACAACATAATTACAAACTACATTTCTGCAGTTCATTACATTAAAATAGACATTGTACATTGACATCAGAATTATATTTAATTACATGGAGTGTTTCAAGACCACCCTGACAACTCAGAGAAGTCAAAAGAAACAGTTTTTAACAAACAACCTTTGTCTTCTGATGCTTATATAAAGAGATATGCATCTTTTTTTAAAGTACACTGTGGACTAGTAGATAGATAATGTGTCATGCCTGGCACAGACAAACTGATGTAATAACCTCTAATTGGCAAAGGGTTGAACTTATTGGTGGCATGAAAGTCTTTCCATTGTAGTCATTTACACCATGTAAACATCAGTCTGTTCATCTGCTGATTGCACAGACACTATGAGCTATTGACATGGCACCTATGAGATGTTTGAGCTTGCTGACACATACATGTGCTATGAGAAAGTTAGGAGATAACAGGCAAGCAATTCTCTTTATCTACCAGCAGAAATTTTCTAACAGTAGGTCTGACACACATCCTTTGGTTCACTTCATCAATGCCTTAGAGAGACTGAATATCTTCTGCAGAACATTGGTAGGAACAGGCACAATGTAAAGACACCAAACTTTGAGAGAAAGTATTTGAGAGAGTCATCAATGATCTTCAATTAGCATGCATGCCATGGCACAAGTCATGCTTGTGTGGCAAGCGTCACAAGAGCACAAAATGAACCCATATTACCTCCACAAAATGCAGGAGTTGAAGCCAAACAACCTCCCATCTTGTGTGCAGTTTGCGCAGTGGCTTGCAATGAAGTAATGTTGATCCTGCATTTTCCACCCATGTCTTATTTACAATTGAATTGTGCTTCACACATCATAGTTATTTAAACAGCAAAAACAATCACATGTGGAATGACAAAATCCACATTGCATGTGGATTTTGTCATTCCAGATGTGATTGCAATGTGGATTTTTGTCACTCCAGATGTGATTGTTCTTGCTGCTGCAAGCAATATTTGTTAATTCCCACCAGCAACAGTTTTCTGTAAACCTATGGGCTGATATTGCTGATGATAATCTTCTGGGACCAGTCATATTGCTGTCATATTTAAACAGAGCAGCTTAGCTTGACTTCCTGCAGAACATACTTTCACAGCTCATGGATAATGTTTCCCTAGTCATGTGGAGAGATATATAGTTCCAGTATGATGTCCCACCATATTTCATCACTGCTGTGCAAGAACATCTGAACTTTTGAGGAGCAATGAATAGGAAGAGAAGAACCTATTGCAACTGCTTGACTTAACATCTCTACATAACACTCTTGACATGTACTGTATGGACATGTCAAGAGTGTTGTGTATGATATCCAATTGACACCAGAAAGAAGCTGATTCTGCATATACATGTACAAACATTAACCTTAATTTAACACCAACAAACTTAATATTCAACTTTAACACATTTTTTGATCTAATGATAGACCTGAAGCAGATCTATCATTAGTTCAGAAACTTTTATCAAAGTTGAATTAAAGTATGCTGGTGTTAAATTAAGGCTAATGTTTGTACATGTACATGAATGATTCATCCAGCTTTAGTGAATAATTGAAGTTGACTGTGCAAATAAATAATGCTTTTCACCAAATCAAACACAATCCAGCCATGTTTTACAGAGTTCAACAATCAGTGTTGTATAGGTGTAATGAATACACTCAAGCTCAGGATAGATGTTTTGAACATCTGTAAAATGAACTACACCACTACACCTTAGTTGCTGAAAAAATATATTAAAACATAACTAACATTTTCAGTCAAATCAATTGGCCATACTCAAGTTAATTAAGAAAAAAATAATGATGTTCTAAAAATACAATATATAAATTCAAATACAAATACAATGGAACAAATGGCAATGAGTGCAGAAAAAATTGAAATTTATAAGGGAAAGCTGCAAGACATCGGCATTAATGCAAGGGACAAAGAATGGCTACCATCTGCATGGAAGTACTCAGTTAAAAAGTTTTTTAAGAGCTCACAACTTATGCCTTGATTTTTATTTTTGCATTTTTTACATTTTTCATATGTTATATACTATATTATTACATGATATATAATATTATATCNATTAAAATATTCAATTTGAAGCATAAGACATTATGCTTCAAATTGAATATGTCAATGTGAAAAAATTTATAGAATTCTACATATTGCAATTGAAACCATTTATAGAATACTGTATAAAAGCTCTTATATATAATTTATCTTCTTCACAAAAACTTTATTGTCCACTTCTTTCAAACTTCTTCAGCATTTCTATTAATATAACTAACAATATTAATTTTGGCACAAATTTTACTTCACATTTCAAGTTTCATAATTTGCTGTTGTTTCACGATAGTTTATTTTCTATAAACTTTTTTCTATGTCATCCATTAAGTATTTTGACTAAAATGATATGGTATAAAATTTGGTTGTCTTTCTTCTAACTAAACATATAAAAATCAAAAAAATTCAAAAAAATAAAATTCTTAATGTCATTAAGAAACACAATATAAAATCTAATGGTCAATAAGTGATGTCATCAGACATACTTTCAGGGTCAAATTTTTTTCTTTGTTGTAAATGTTAAGATGTAATTTGTAAATACAAATCTATATATCTAAAAGTATTCCATAACATTGTTTTATATATTTTACTTGATTGACAACCCCACTTTCCACTTGTGGATAAAGTTACTTTACATCAAAACTAAAGTAATTTTAAATGACTTCAAATTCCTTAATTTTTCCCCAATAAGTGTCAAGACATTATAGGTTTCTGGTAAGTTTACAATATCAAAGAGACAGTATGTCATATTTTATGAGACATTCGTGAATTGAGTCAGATTCATGAATGTCTCATAACTTATCTCTTATGATTACAATGATTCAAATAAAAACTTATGTTAAAATGTAATGTTTTTAGCTTTATAATTGTTACCAAAATTTATATGTAAAGTGCATTTCATTTATTCTTAAAAATGATTTCCAGATAATTTTTGGTTATTAATACTGGACTGAATTTTTTTTTTGTTTTTAAATATTATATCATTACAGATTTACAGATTCAAATCTCTAAAATCTGTTTTTGAATTTCCTCAACAATTTCAGTAATCTTTATTTCATTAGCTTTGTTAATGTAACAATATTGAATAGCAAGATTTGAAAAAGTATTAAAAAATATAAATTATATAGATAAAACACAAATATCTTTACATTAGTCGTCTCAAGGTTTTTTGTTTCAATCAGTATTCCAGGAGATGGAACTTGTTCTGAATGCCATGTGCCACATTCTTCATTAATAACGTTTGTATAATCTTTTGCTGGTGAAATACCTATGAAAGACAAATTACTTTTATAAATAAATTCAGATTTTATGAGTTATAAAACAACACTTTAGAGAAATTATTATATATTAATGAAATGATCAATTATTTTAATAAAAACAACTGTTGTGTCCTCCAAATTGTTACACAATTATGTCATTATTATTTACTGCATACTACATTTTTGTTTTAGTTAACTTCAAACTATTCTTATATAAATTATACATATGACTTAATTTCTCTTTGTCAACAATCAGTTTGTAAAATTGATTCCCACTTACCCTGATTTTGCATGTGATTCCTACATGTAAAATTGATTTCTTTTAAATAAATAAGGAAAAACACAGAAAAACTTTACAATTCTCACTTGTAGAAAGATATTGGTATTGTTCATTAAATCCTTGCTTTAGCACAAATGTATATCAGTTGTCCTGATTAATGATTGAAATTTAATATGATTTGCATGGGATTAAATGCACATATAATAATTTTAAAGCCCAATGATTGTATTAAAGCCAAACAATTACTGGATTAAACCTAGAGATTGTGCTTAACACCTACCTCTAGTGCCAAATTACTCAGTATTAATAATCATTAGTAGCAGTAATGTAACCTGATTTAATCTGGTAATCATTTGGCTTTAATGGAATTAAATGATTTAAATGTCACATTATACATATTTCTTTTCTAAAAATTTTTATGATAAAAGCTGATAATATTTTTGTAATATTTATATTTTAAACAGTATATCTCTGTTCAATTTATTTACTTAGTTCACCTTAAAAATAAAATTCTTTATCGATATTAACATTTTTTAAATAACTTTCAATATTTTTTTGATTAACCCAAAAAATTAAGAAATTATCAAATATAATATTAATCAAAAGAAAAGAAAAAAAAACATATTATAAATCAGCTTTTAAATAAAACTTTAAATTTATAAATAATATCAATGTAATGAATTAAAATAACTGATCATTTTTGTAAAATCTTAGGTTGACTGAATTTATTATATTCTATAGAAAAAACTGTACAGAAATAATACTTTACATAAACTAACATTGAAATTAGGTAATTGAATAATCTGAATGTTAAGAAATTTATGCTATGTAAATTTGTTTCTTTACAGTGTGTCATTTCATTTCCATATATTTTGTTTCCAATAAATTATATTATTGTATGATATATTTAAATTTTTATTGTAATAATTTTATAAAAAGTTAAATAAAAATGACATAAATTGCTATTTACCAGAAATATTTGGAGTTTTTGTTTATAGAATTCTACATATTGCAATTGAAACCATTTATAGNTGGTTTTTCATAACATTTTGAACATCCACCACAGGGATAAATGTAAGACAAATCAAATTCCTGATTTGATGGCCATTCCTTAATTTAATATAAAAATAATGTAATTTTTATACATATTTGTGTAATAATCATATATTGACCAAATAACTGATTAATATAATTAATTAAAAATAGTAAAGTGTTTTATAAATTATCTTAATCTAAAAATATTTATAATTACTAAGGTAATTTATAAATATTAATTATTTTTTTAAATTCTTATATACTGTATTTACTCACATATAGGACAAGGTGTATAAAGATCAAAATAAAGAAAATTAGATTTATTAATACAATTCTAATTTTATTTTGTTTAATCACAAGTAAAATATCAAATAAACATAATGCACACACTGTCCCACAAAAATTACTGGCATTTTAAACTTTAAAGAAAAATCTTGTAAAATCGACAACATAATTTGTTCATAGCCAGACAATCGGGAACCTTTTTCTTGCCAATTCTTAACAGTTGAATCCACTCTCCATTTATTACACTTATGAGTTTCTCCGAATTCTGATTTCTGAATAATCATCTGTTTTTACATGGGAATGAATTGAAACTTATATCAAGCTCCCGTATGATTTTGGAATTTCAATCTGGAATTCAATTCAAAAGCTTTGCTTTTCCTATTGCTATTCATCTTTACTCCTAACAATATACAAGAACGATTCAAATGACAAATAAAATACTTGTTTTTAAATACAAGAGGGTAAGCATCTGGTACACATGAATACACAATTCACAAAAATTATTTGCAAAAAAACAAAGAATCTTTCGCTTGTGTATAGGACAACCTAGGAATTTGAAACTGTAATTAATAAAAACTCTCTTATATGCAAGTAAATATGGTAGTTTTACTTTTAAGTTAAATGTAATATTTAGTTAATATTTACAGCATGTATTTATCATTCCTATCATTCTAATTCTAATTAAATCTAAATGACTATTTTATTTAATCTAATTTAACAAAATACAAGTATAATACTTGACAATTATATAAAAAATCGAAACAATAAAAACAATAATCAACCTGAAAAGCTCTTGATATATAGGCAATTTTTGTTTTCAGTGGTCCAAACAGCCAATATCTGCAATATAAACAATTCTAAAAGTTGAAGAACTTATCATCATTTACAAAATAAATATATCAAAATGTACATATATAATTAATATATAAACATTCAATATTTAATGAGATAAATATATGTCATATTAAATATTAAATGTTTATATAACAATGATAATAATTTAAATATCAATATAATAATATTAATCAAGTAACATATATATATATAATACCTTAAACAAATATAAGATAAAAATGAAAAGTACAAAAATAGAAGTTTTTCTAAAGAATTTTCTGTTTTTGAAATGTCTCTTAAATCATTTATTGTACATGTATTGATTTTTTTGTCTGTACAAGTACTGACTTCATATTTAGCAATTCATGTTGATCAATATGGAAACAGAATAATAATTACTTTCTTGAATATTTACAAATAATAAATATGTTTGTGCACAATGTTCTTATTCTAATTTATCAACACTAAAATATAACCCAAGTGTTGGGTCAGATGTTTACCACATGTGAAAACCTAACGACCGGGGTTCAATCTGGAACCGATCAGGTTACACCTACGTGTGGGCACGAGATTTGGGGATGTCTTTTGTTCGGGTCAGTCAGATGAGCAGGATGTGACTGGTGTCCAGTCCAACCGTTATAACCGTTTCATTGTTATATAAGAATACGGCGATCTATGATTAGAATTCTATACACCTTAAGAACTTAACACCAAGTTTGCCAAAAAATTTCTATGCTTGCAACATACAATATTTATGACTTTAATCATGAACCAAATTTATCATCAAACAAAAATAACATAATTATAAAATCTGCAAAAGTATATGTAAAATATAATTATATTTTACATATACTTTTGCAAGTTGAAAAGCATTGCCTAGAAACATTAGATTCAAATATATATACAGTCGATCCCCCCTATAAGATCATTGATTTTTCCGTTTTATCTGAATTACATGTTGTACGAGTCACTTAGATTTTACAAATACGTGTGCCGGGCTGTGAACGGCTCACATATTTGTAAAATCTAAGTGACTCGTACAACATGTAATTCAGATAAAACGGAAAAATCAATGATCTTATAGGGGGGTCGACTGTAAA